GGGCCTGGCAGACCCCAGGAACACACTCAGGCAATAAAAACAAAGAGAAACACAGAATCCTGAACTGAAAAACCCCAGAATCCAGCGATTCCTAGAAACCCCAATGAGCAGCACCATCCCCAGAATCCAGCAATTCCTACAAACCCCAATGAGCAGCACCATCCCCACAGCTCGTCCAGTGATTCCTGCAAATCCCAGAATCCAAATATTCCTGCAAAACCCCACAATCCAGCGATTCCTACAAACCCCAGTGAGCAGCACCATCCCCCAAATCCAGATATTCCGGCAAACCCCAGTGAGCAGCACCATCCCCAGAATCCAGGGATTTCTGAAAAACCCCAGTGAGCAGCACCAACTCCCAAATCCAAATATTCCTGGAAAACCCCAGAATCCAGCGATTCCTGAAAAACCCCAGTGAGCAGCACCATCCCCAGAATACAGCAATTCCTACAAACCCCAGAATCCAGGGATTTCTACAAACCCCAGAATCCAAATATCCTACAAACCCCAGTGAGCAGCCCAGTATCATCCCCAGAATCCAAATATTCCTGAAAAACCCCAGTGAGCAGCACCATCCCCCAAATCTAAATATCCCTGCAAAACCGCAGTGAACAGTACCATCCCCAGAATCCAAATATTCCTGCAAAACCCCAGAATCCAGTGATTCCTACAAACCCCAGTGAGCAGTACCATCCCAGAATCCAGCAATTCCTGAAAACTCCCATGAGCAGCACCATCCCCCAAATCCAGGGATTCCTACAAACCCCAGAATCCAGATATTCCTACAAACCCCAGTACTATCCCCAGAATCCAAATATTCCTGCAAAACCCCAGTGAGCAGCACCATCCCCCAAATCCAGATATTCCTACAAACCCCATAAGCAGCACCATCCCCAGAATCCAAATATTCCTGCAAAACCCCAGAACCCAGCATTTCCTACAAACCCCAGAATCCAGCGATTCCTACAAACCCCAATGAGCAGCACCATCCCCAAATTCAAATATTCCTGCAAA